AAAGCTCCTGTATTAATAATCTATGTTCCCTTGCTTGTCATCTGCCTTGTTCATGCAGAGCTTGTTACGACTCTGATACCATAGTAATTTTGAGAGAAAATATTTCTATCTCATTTCTTTTAGGCTAAAATGCCTCGAATATACATAATTTTTGTATAAAACTATTAATATCAAATCTCTTACAAATCATCCCAATTTATTACAAGAAATAAATCTTGAATAATTGTGAATTAATCACAATTAGTTCATAAGGATAATAATTGGAACAAATCTACACAATATGTTGACCATAATTTTGTTTGCAATATCTGTAATTCATCACAATTAATTCATAAATATCATAATCTTCACAATCTGTTAACCATAATTTGAATCTCGTCCGCAATATCCATAATACCTACTCAAGTCATTTGATTGACTAATATTCTAAAATTATCATCAATAGTTTGTACAGAGGGGTCTAATAAATAAGGCACGTGTTGTGAGATACATGTTATTCATATCATCAGTTCTATTCTATCTTAAATGTCAATATTAAAATATTGATTTTTTCATAATTGATGTAGAAAATTTATTTATTTTTAAATATTTTTTGTTTTGTGATATTACCTACTTGTTAATAAAAATTAGTCCAAAAAACAAATATAAAAATGGTCAAATGTCACAAATAATTATAAAAGAGTCTTAAACACTACGTAATTTATATTTTTCAATATTTCACACAAATATATTCAAAGAACAATTACAATGAACAAACAACAATACAAGAGAACACTACAAGAAAAAACAGTTTTAACGATCGAAAAATTCGGTTGCTAATCGGTTAGCGACCGAAATGCATCGTCGCAAAAGGCTAAGTCGCTAATGTGTTAGCGATCGATTTTTATTTCAGTCACTAAATTGGTGACAAAGTTAAAAAAATAACAACTAACAATTTCGGTCGCTAAAAAGGTTATATTTTTATTATTTATTACCTTCCCCTTTATATTATATTTTTATTATTCATTACATTTCTTAGAAATTTGAATTATTACCCAATACCTTAGAACTCGGAGGTCGATACTCCAACAACTAAGCTACTAGGATTTTTCACTAATAACTTACAAGTAATTTATATTTATATACAAATAAATGTATATCCGTATAAATATATAAATATAAAATCTATAAATACAAATATATTTATATATTTTGATATATTTATATATTGATATATTTATATATTTTGATATATTTATACATTTATATATTTTTATATATTTTATATATTTAAAATTTAATTTATAAGATGGAAAAAAAATTCTTGATAGCTTGAAGTAGAGATGAAAGAAAAGAAAAAGATAAGAACCCTAATATTTTAATAAAAAATTATAATATAAATATTAAAATATTAAAGATAATATTATATTTTTCAAAGATAATAAATGTTTTTAATTCATTATTTATAAATATAATTAATTAAAAAATATTAATATTATTCATTCATCATTTAAGAAAAAAATTTAAAATATAAATATTAAATATTAAAAATAATATTATATTTTTAAAAACAAATTTTAGAAAAAGGTTTAAAAACATATATAAATTATATTTACATGTACAAAATATTAAAAATATCCACATTTAAAAAAATACTAAAAAAATACCAAAAAATTATACTTTAAATTGATGAAATATATTTTAAAAAAGTTATATTTATTAAAGTATTAAAAATATTTTGTAATATATAAGTTAAAAAAATTATCATTAAAATTTTTAAAAATTATTAGTTTTGTAATTTATAAACAATGAAAATAAATTACAAATATTATAATATATTGGTATATTAGTTTAATATAGTATATTTGTATTCTAATTTTTAATTAAACTAAAATTACGCCAGTAATGTATAATAATATATGAGGGGATAACAAATGTAATCCAATTACTTATGTTTATATCTTTTATAACTTTTTTTTCTTTTTAAACTTCTCACATTCTACATTTTTTCTAAACTCTATCATTTCTACTACATTATCATCTTCATCTCCTCCCATATTCTATTTATCTTTATAATAATTAGTCTTCTTTTATAAGATACTTTATTTTCTATTTTTATTATTTATTTTCTTATAATTTAAAATAATTAATATTATTTTAACATTTATTTTTATGATTTTTACTATAACAAATCAAATAAAATGGTTCGATAATATCGATTAATTAAAATCATCACATCAAAAGCTTATATAACTATATTAAAATTATTAATTTTAAAAATATAAAATATATTTAAAAAAATACTAAAATTATAGATTGGAAAAAAAATAGAATAAACAAATATTCTTTACTTTATATTATATTTAAGTGTGTGCATAAATGTTGACTTTCTTAACTATAAAGAAACAATAGAAAAATATAAAAATAGAATTTGAAGAAGTGAATTTTGATGATAAAGACTATTTTTATATAAATTTGTTCTAATATATCAATTAAGAATAATAATACATAAAATTTAAAAACTAAACTACAAAAAAGTAAGTTTAAATTTATAAAAAAATACATTACTAAAAGTATCATATTATATTAAGATTTTCATTATTTTTGTTAATTATAAATTTAAATGTGTTTCATAAATAAAATTATAAATTTAAATGTATTACCACTTTTGATCCATCATAAATAAAAATAATTAGTCTCTTATAAATGTTGTTCTATTTTAATCCATCATTAAATTTGTTTTATATTATTTGAGACAAGTATTTGTTTTTTTATATTTTATTTTTATGTATTTTTTAACTTCAAATTTATTTTTTATTTTTATTATTTATTTTCTTATGATTTAAAGTATTTAATATTATTTTAGCATTTACTTTGATGATTTTTACTATAACAAATCAAATAAAATCATTTGATAATATCAATTAATTAGAATCATCACATCAAAGATTTAGATGACTATATTAAAATTATTAATTTTAAAATATATAAAATATATTTTAAAATAAAAATAATAAAATTATAGGTTGAGAAAAAAAAACTAGAATGAACAAATATTCTTCATTTATAATATATTTAAGTGTGTACCAATCTTGACCATCATAACTATAAAAAAATAGTTAAAAAATGTGAAGATAGAAATTAGAGAAGTGAATTTTGTAAATAATTTTTTTATAAATTCAAGCACTCATATCGAAAAGAAAAGACATGAAAGAAGAAAAAACGAATTTGATGACTTATCATATTATTAAAAATTTGGATGAAATAATTATGTATAATAATTATTTAGTATATTATATTTTTAAATTTGTTAATAGAGAAAAAGTTTCATAATTCAAAATGTTAAATATTTTTAAATATTAAAATTGGATTTATAAAAAATTGGGAAAAAAACAATTAATCCAAAAATATAATAAGGATAAAAATATTATAAAAAAGAGTTAAAAAATGTATTATAATATTTTCAGTTTTAGTTTAATTATATTTTTAATTCTAAAAATAGAAAAATATATTGTAATTATTTTAATTTAATAAAATATAATTTAAAATTTTAATACTAAAATTAAGAGATTAAATAATAATAAATTTAATTCTTTAAATTTAGTATTTAGAAACTAAAATTATAGTTTCTCTGTTTTAAAAAATTAAAATAAATATTTAAAAATAAAAAAAATAGTATTATCTTAAATTTGTTATAAGTATAATTAAATCGCTATTTTCTTATCCAATTTTATAATTTTTTTAATAAAAATCTAATATATAAAAAAGTTGAAATTTTAAAAACTGTTTTTTTTTTTTTGAAAAAACTGACAAGAAAAACTAGGCTTTGAAAAAAAAAGTTAATAATTTTGAAGTTATTTGAGTGATGAAATTTCCAAATGTGATTTATGCATTTATTGAACAAAATTGGAGGTGTGTTGAATATAGATTTAAATATATTTTTAATTTATTTAAATATGGTTTATTTTTAGTATTTATAAAATAGATTAGTTTTAAATTTTTAACTTTTCTAGCAGTCTATTTTTAATCTTTGTTATTAATTTTGTTTAAAATGAAAAATATTAATTAATATACTTAAAGTAAAAAATATTTCAATTAAAGATAAATATATTTTTATAAATAATTTAATTAAATAATATATTTATTATCTAATGTATATCAATTATATTTTGATATAAATTTTTTCTGGTATATCAATTATATGAGAACAACCATGGTTAAACAATTAATAATAATAAAACAATAAATTTAAAAACTAGATTAAAAATAAAGTATTATAAAATAAAATTGTAATAATTTGTTTGAAATTGTAATTTTTTTAATTAATTAAGTTAATGAGAAATTAAAATGTGATAATTTGATGTGTTCAATTTTTTTAATATAAATTTTTAAAATATAATTTAATTTAAATTAAAATTTTCAATTGAAAAATATATTAAAGAATATTTATTATTAAACTTTTCTTAAACAATGTATTGAATAGTTAATATCACTTCAGTCTTAATTTATTGCAATTTAAATTTTTAATAAATTTGATTTATTTTTAATAATATTTTTATTTTAGTAATTTAAAATTAAAGTTAATCTTCATTTTGTTAACATTGATACCAAAGTTTATTTTTAAAGTATATTTTAAAAAATAAATTATTTTAAAAAATAAATTGTAAAAATATACTAAAGTTATTAAAGTATATTTATAAAAAATTAAATTTAAATATAATAAAAAAATAATATTCATTAGCGACCAATTTCAATTCGATTGCTATTTTCTCATTAGCTGATCGATTTCAATTTAGTCACTATTTTAATTTGTAATTCGGTCGCTAAATCAGTCGCAAAATATTTTTTTATTTTAGTATAGAATAACTATCAATTTAGCGACTGAAATTTTGCGACGCAAACTATTGGTCGTTATTTTGGTCACTAAATAAAAAAGTGAAACCAAATCATATTTCGGTGGCAAAATCGATCATTAATTTCGGTCGCTAAAAGTGATTTTTCTTATAGTGGAAGGCGATATCATGACGAAGGGTGAGACTACAACAGAGTCTAAGCCCATGACATATAATGACATCACAAGGGAGGGTAAGAGCACGATAAAGGACAAGAGCTCGATGGAGGGCAATGGTGAAATAAAGGGCAAGGGCGTGACGAAAGATAAGAGCACAATGGAGGATGAGGATGACATGGAGGGCAGGGGCATGACAAAGGACAAAAGCACAATGGATGGAGAGGGTGTAATAAAGGGCAATAGTGTGATAGAGGTTAGGAACGTGATGGAGGTTGGGGGTACGATGAAGGACGAGGACGTGATGGAAGTTGAGGATACGAGAGGGAGGGACCTAACAATATAGAGTTCGACACTATAACAAATGGCAATAACTCAAGGGAAGACGCGAGGTAGAGAAGACCAAGGAAGATAAAAATGAATGGAAGAAAAATAACCATTTTGTTGGAAGAGAAAAATATTTAAAAAAAAAAAGAGAATTATATTTACGAAAATGTTATAAATAATTTTTATAATGATTATATTATAAATGATGTAAAAAGTCATATTAAACATTCATAATATCAATGTTTAATGTAACTTTATGCATTGGTTACAATTAGGTATAAAACTTATTCTAAATTACAAGTTTCTCAAAAAAAAATTTTACATAGATTTGTTTCTAATGTTAAAATGTTATAGTTAAAAATTATTTTTGTTATAACGATAAAATATTTATACAAATCAATATAATCAAATTTAAATAATGGACACGTAATGTTAGACTTTAAATGGCTATCTTCCATGTTTATGGATTTAAAATAAAAACCATTGATTAAAGAAAAAATGTAATAGTAAGAGAAATTATAATGAAATGATAATCCTTAAAAGAGTAACATAGAAAATAAAAAGATGTGGTAAAGAGATATGATTAAGTTGATTTAATTAATTATTATGTGAATGTTTTTTTTTTAAACTAATTTCAAAATTCTTACACTCAATTTTTTTGTTGTTGATTTATTTAGTGAGTGTAATTCCCAATCAATTTTAGTAAAATAAGTAATTTTTTTTAAAAATTATAAATATAGATAATTTGTATTTTGAAATAGGATTTTATCATATAAAAAAATTGTATTTCAAAACATACTTTTTTTCTTTTTTAAAAGTCGTATATAGATAGACAACTTGAATATTTTTTTTTAGGTTAAAATCTTGCGTACAGTAACAAATTTAATAGACGATTTTATTTTTTAAATCGTATATTAATACATAATTTTAATTAAAATATTCTTTATAAGTCTTCAATCAATAGAAAATTTTAGTTAACTTTACGGGGTAGGTGTTATTCTTCAAGATTGAGATAAAAAATTCAATGATTTTGCATCAAACACTATGAGTTTTGCGTTCATCACGGGATCATTTTACACAGCTGTGTATTTTTTTATTATTATTATTGAATTTTAATGATTACTAAATGTCAGAACTTTCTTTATACGAAGAAAAAAAAATGAAAAGTAATAGAATTGTCTCTTCTACCAAGAGGACAAGACACTAAATATGCGCCCGTCAATTTCTTACCCTTTGCTCAAGAATAAAATTTAAACTATTGATACAAGTTATCTATTTTTTAGTTTTGAATCATATACATTTATGTTCTCTTCATTGCTAATCATACATTCTTATTTAAGAATAAAAAAAACATCAATGAAAATAAATAAATAAATAAAACTAATTAAAATAGTCTATTTATTCACCATTTATAAAAAAATATTCTTAATTAAATCTCATATTTCTTAAAAAAAAAAATTCTTGACTAAAATGATATATCAATACACTACTTTAAAAAAATTACAATTCTAACTTAAAAAAGAATATACTAAAATTATTTATCACTAATAACACTTTTACATGAAAAGAAATAATATATTAATATTGAGAATTTAAATATGAGTTTGAAGTTTCAGTATTAAATAGAAATGAGAAATTTGAATAACTTATAAGTGATAAGACTTATAAACTCAATGTTTTAAAGTTTTGCATTAAATGTGATGTCAATTCTTACATGAGTTGGACACATGACTCGTTTGTGTGGTGATCGATTATTTAAGAGTGATAATTGTATTGAAAGTTTTTCTAATGATGGGTTAGGGAACGTGTTCCCTTATGATGAACGAAGGTACAAGTAAAAGGTCATCAATGATCTTGAGGGAATGTACCAATGTGAGAGAACTCACATTTCACATGTCTCATTGGTGATGTCTCTCTCTGAAGAATCTTCCTTTGAAAGACTCATCAGTGATATTAGAGCCAATGACTTGTGTGGTGACTAACCGTTTAAGAGTGATCATTGTATCAAAAATTTTCCTAATTATGGGTCAGACAAACTTATCTTGTTATGATGAACGATGGTACAAGTAAATGATCACTAATAATCTCGAGGGGATGTATCCATGTGAAGGAATTCACACTTAAGGGAGAAATTGTTGGAAAATTTAAGTATGAGTCTAAGTCCCATATTAAGAATGAATGAGGAAATTAAGTAACATATAAGTAAAAAGACTCATAAATCCAATGCCTTAACGTTTCAGGTTGAAAGTGATGTCAATCTCTTATGTGAATTAGATTCATGGTTCTTTCGTTGACTCTCCCTAGTGAATCCCTCTTAGAAAGACCCTTTAATGATATTAAAGCTCTGATTAGGAGTTGTGGTTTGTGCTCTAAAAATGGGGAATCATGATGGTGGTAGAACTATGATTATGTTGGATTATTCCAATTACTCAAGAAGAAAATATTGAATGGAAGATTTATTATTTTGCAAAGACCTATATTATCCTTTTAAGAAGAAAGCTATTATACCAAAAGATAAATCTAAAAGAGATTGGAAGAAGTTAAATAGGAAGACTATTGGTATAATAGACCAATCTGTTTACCATCATGTGTATAGTAAGACTTTGTCTTACAACTTATGAATAAATTAAATGAGTTTTTGAGTCTAAAAATTCCTTTAATAAGGTATTTCTCATTAGGAAACTTGTAAATTTGAAATACAAGGATGATTGCTTTGTGGCATAACACTTGAGCAGTTTTCAAAATATTATGAATCAATTAATAATCATGGAGATTGAGTTAGATGATGAATTACTTGTATTGTTGTTGTTTAGCTCATTTTTAGACAACTAGGAGACATTAATGGCATCTCTAAGTAATTTTGTTTTTAATGGAAAACTGACTTTTAACATGGTCAAAGATAGTCTTTTAAATGAAGAAGCTAGGAGGAAAGGAAGTTGTAAGGTTAACTCCTTTAATCAAAATGAAGCTTTAGTTATGGAGTTAAGGAAAATAAATTAATATATAAAATGGGACATATGAAAGTCAAAAGAAAGAAAAAATTTCACATGTTTCCATTGCAATAAATCGGGACATATGATTAAAGATTCCAGGTTCCTCAAGCGAGGAAGATTAAGAGATAGATGCAATAGTAATAATAATAAGAGAGAATATAAAGATAAAGATACTACTGCAATTGTATCTAATGATGAAGTTGTTATTATTTGTGATGATGAATATGTTAATATCACCTGTCAAGAGTATGAATAAGTTGTTGATTCTACTACCTCAATTCATATTTCACATTCTATACTCACTAGTGCAAAAAGGGGCTTTTACGTCAGGTATTTAGGGCTTTTTACGTCGTATTTAAGACTGACGTTAAAATAAGAGACGTAAATTTACGTCGGACCCTTTAGTCTGACGTAAATTTACGTCAGTTATCAAGACCCGACGCAATTTTACATTGCATATACCACTAAACAAACGTAAAAACTTTCAAAAATTAAAAAAAAAATAGCAAATTTACGTCGCATATTAGTATACACGACGTAAATTTACGTCACATATACTAATATGGGACGTAAATTTACATCGCATGTAGCAATATGCGACGTAAATTTACGTCGGATGTAGCAATATGCGACGTTAACTATTATTCCCGTCCCTCGATAAATAACCCTTACGAAAACCATACACAAAACCCAAGACATCTGGGGTTAAAACAGTTTCAATTGAAGCGTTAGAAAACCCAATTACCAATTTCAACACCAAGACCCTGCATCCCCGAAACGAGGACGCTGGACGCGAAGAGCCTCTGCATGGTCTCGCGGCCATAGACGGCGAGCTGCCGACTGTGCAGATCCTCGTCGATCTCTGCTGGGTGCGAGCCCCCAACGCCATTCCTTCGATCGAGTTCCCACCGCGTCGTTGTCGCCACTGCGCCGCTACTCGAATCCCGACCGCTGTCATCCACCGCCGATTCCGCGAGCACCGAGCAGGCAGCAAAGCAACTGATCCGAGCCTTCTCGGAAATATTGTTGTTGGTGGCGGCGTCAGTATCTCCTTCAACTACCACTCCTCCTTCACTCACTCTCTTTCTAGGAAGCATATAGTGAAGTAAACTGCGAAAGACGCAAGGTAAACGCACCATCGAAATTACAACCAAAACGAAAACAACCAAATTGAAACAAAAATCATAACAAATAAGATACATCCTATTGATGATATAAGAATAAAAAATTATACAAAACCCTAAGTAGCACTAGATTCGAGGTTGGAAGAAAGAAGGAAGAAGGAGATGAATCTGAATCTAGGTGGAATGGAAGGGAAGGAAGGGAACGTACCGAATGAAACTTGAGAGAAGAAAGGAATGAAATAAGATTGAAAGGTGGGGATCGGAAAGACAGATGGAGAGAGAGTTTAGGTTCCCTTGAAGATGGGTTTGGAGATGTGAGTGTGAGAGAAAGTGAGAGTGGGTATAAGAGAAAGAGAAAGAGAAAGAGAAGGAGAGAAGGGTATTTATGGATTTGCATGCGAATTTTGGTTTGTTAAATTGTTATACGCACCTAGGGTTTTGCCTTTACTCGATACCATTTCTATCTATCTTCTCTTTCTCTTTCAGCAGTGAGCGAAAGAGTGGGCCTGTTACTGTGAGATGGAAGAATAGTGAGCACTGTAGACAAAACGAATGCACCGGGATGAGTACATGCCATGTCGCCGTTTTAAGTTCTCCTTGTCTCCAAACGACGGATTCTTCTGTTCTGGACCCGGCCAAACCAAACAGACCCCTCCATGTATGTATTTGGCGATGGATGAAAATTTCAAAGCTATCACTTTTTACGTGGCTGCGACATAAAAGAGGTTTTTTACGTCGCGTGTCGGGGTGTGCGATGTAAAAGTTTTGTCTTTTATTTACAAAATTGCCACCGCATTTTATTTACGTCGAATATTTTTACATGCGACGACAATTGGGTGACGTAAAAACCCTTTTTTCCACTAGTGACTACTGAAGATTTTAGGCATGTAAAAATGAGAAATCAAGGGGTAAGCAAGTTACTAGCTTTGGAGAAATTTGGATAGAGACTAATATTGGATGTAAGTTGCATTTGAAGAATGTCAAACACATTCTTGATATACGTCTCAACTTGATCTCAATACAGGTACTTGATAAAGATGGTTATCATAATTATTTTGGTGATGAAAAATGAAAGTACACTAAAGGAACATCGGTGGTAGCAAAAAAGAGAAGCGGAATATTCTATATTGAACATCAGCAAAGTTGTATGCACCTCAAGTAAATGCAATTGAAGATTGTTATGCAAAATGATGGCATAAAAGACTTGGTCACTTAAATGAGAAAGTCCGTAGTACTCTTGCAAGGCAATAGTTACTTTCTATTAAAGGTACATCTCTTGAAACTTGTTCTGATTGTCTTATTGGCAAACAACATAGAGTTTCTTTTCGTAGTTATCATCCACGTAGAAGACCACATATCTTAGATTTAGTTCATACTGATGTTTGCTCTATGGATGCTAAATAAATTAGTGGTTGCACTTATTTTGTTGCTTTTATTGATAATCATTCTAAAATGGTTTAGGCTTTCGTTTTGAAATCCAAAGACTAGGTACTAGGTACTTGATGTGTTTATGAATTTCCATGCAAATGTTGAAAGAGAAACATAGAAGTTGTTGAAATGTGTTTAAGTAGATAATGATAGTGAATTCAAAGGTCCTTTTAAGTACTATTGCAAGGAAATGACATCAAGCTTTAGAAGATAGTTCCAAAGATCCCTCAGCATAATGGAGTTGTAGAGAGAATGGATTGCATAATTAATGATAGAATCAGGTGCATGCTCTCTCATGTAAAGTTGGCTAAAGTCTTTTGGGGTGAGACATTGGGAACTATAGTGAACTTAATCAACCGATCTCCATCCATTCCTTTTAATGGTGATGTCACTGGGTGATGAGTTTTATTTAGAAATATTAGAGTTTAGCTCTTTTATTTGTGTGAGAGTGATTCTCCTAAGTTCTTGAGTGATTCGAGAACCCTTGGCTGTATCAAAAGAATTTCACATCCTTTGTGAGTTGCCTCCTTTGAAAAAAGTGATTCTTTTCTTCGATCTTTCACATTTATCTCTTGTCATTTCTTCACTAGAACCCAAAATTCTGCTCAGATTTATGTCATGGTCATAACTTTCGTTCTACTTGTCCAAATTGAATTTTTTTAGCCTAAATTAAAATTCAGAATGAGAACTTTCACCTCGTTTTTGAATCACCTTAATCGAAGTTTTATAGCTTGAGATATTGACGTTTTAAAAAGTTTGCCCAACCTTGAAACTTTCTCCACTTTCTAATTCACCTTCTCACTAATTTCCTAAATTTCCTACAACGTTCTAACCATAAAGATCCTAAGTCAACCCTTTTACAAATGAGGTTCATATCATTGAGAATGTGTGAAAAGGGAAAGATGTTTCTTACAATCATTTGAGGGTGTTTGGTTGCAAGACATTTGTCCATGTCTCTAAAGATGAAAGATTTAAACTTGATGGGAAGTCTAAATAATGTATTTCTTTTAGTTATGGTCATGATGATTTTGATTACAAATTTTGGGATCAAATTAATAAAAATATTATTAGAAGTCGAGATGTTGTTTTCTTGAAGATTAGACCATTGAAGATATTGACAAAAAAGAAAAGTTAAGATATGTTGGTCTTGAGTCCATTGATATTAAGTATGAACCTCCTATTAATGTTCTTAATCACAGGAGAGATGTGAATGCAGATTTAGAGATTGTAGATAACATGCCTGAGATTCAAGTCAATGAATCTACTAAACCAATTCCTCTTAAACCTGTTATAGAGTCTCAATTGAGAAGATCTACTAGAGAGATTCGTCATTCTAAAAAATATTCACCTCATGAGTTTGTGTTGTTAAGTGATAAGAGAGCCTAAAAGCTATGTTACATAAAGAGAAATACAAGTGGTATTAATGGTATATGTGGTGACGGACTGTGTAATATTGATCCCTATATCAAAAATCTTTTTGATTGTGGGTTAAACAAGCATGTGTGCACTATGATGAATGACAGTACAAGTAAAGAGTCACTAGTAATCCCGAAAAAATATACCAATATGAATGAACTTACACTTGAGAGAAAGATGGTAAGAAATCTAAGTGTGAATCTGAGTTTCATGAGAAAACTGAACAATATATATAAAAAAAATGACCTATAAACTCAATATTTCAAAATTTTGAATTTAAGATAGCATTAATTTTTTTATATGAGTAAGACTCACTTGTCATTAGTGTTATCTTTTTTTCAATGCATCCTCTTAGAAAGATCTATCAACCAGAACATGAATTTTTTTCCTCCTGGAAATTTCTATTTAAAATTTTCACTTATTTTAGTATTTTTTTTTAAATACATGGGCAAAATTCAAAGGGAATGTAACCATTTAGTAAATCGGCCTAAAATTTTTATATTACTAGTCTCTCTTTGCTTACAAGATGCTTTATTATCCTAAGCATAAACTACATATATTTGCGGTATGTGGGATAATTTTCAAAAGCATTTTGGAACCTTTCAGAACCTTCTTCCTCGTATTTTTCCTTTTTGAATATTTACTCTTATACGCTTAGAATATTGATGTTCAATTCCTAATTTTCTAATAACTTTTTCTCAATTTATACAATCTTAATCAAGTATAATTTCATTATCATGATATAACTTATAAGAAAATCTCTCTTGATTTTATCGTATTTCTTAAAACGAAACACCGTTAACCTCTCTTGATTGTAATGAATTTCTTCATATATTATTTCATAATCAAGACATATCACTAGAAATCCTTTATCCCTCTTATCATGTCTTAATTTATTTATTAAACCATTTTTAGCCGTAAAAACATGTTATACAACTACCATGAATATGTAATTCTTTTATGATAACAACATATGTTAATAATATAATTTATTAATCCATGGTTTCTTGAAAGATTACAACCTTAAAAAAAATAATTGGCCGATTTCAAAAGTAACATTCATAAAATAACAATATTTTAATTCCATGGCCATAAACTAAAGAAACACACATACATAGCTAGTGATTGAATAAAACAGAAGGCAACCAAAATTACAACTCTTTCTTATAAGTTTTAATTATATAACTTAACATAGACATTAATTCTTATTATATAAATAAATTTGTTAATTTTTTAATAATATTTTTATTATTTGTTTAATAATTTATTATAAACTCTTTTTATAATAAACATATTTTAAAAATAAAAATATAATTAATAAAAAGATAAGTATCTTAATATTAATAACAAATATTAAAAAAACAACAATTATAAAAGAAAATAAATAATTCATTTCAGTTCTCATTATATCATTCACGAAATAAGAAAAATAAAAATAAAAATATAGAAATTCAATAATTATTATATTTTTTTACTTTTGGGGACAATGAGAACCTTAACTGCGATCATCGGCGACAAAAACCTTGACGCCTCTTTTCCTCAAAGCCTTAACCACGGTCCACACTTTATCTCCGTTGTCCACACTCTTCTTCTCGATCTCCCTCTCGACGTCAAAGTGGACCCCACCTCCCATTCCCACCTCCGGCGCCTCCGTCTTCAGTCGCATAGCCAAAACCTCCCCGACGGACGCCGCTGCCCTCGTGTCACACCCCTTCCCCCACTCGAACGCGCTTCTCAGCGCGTGCTCCACGGTCGACGCACTCGCCACATCCCTCCCATTGTTCCCTTCCACCACCTTCGCCGTCATGTGCTTCGCCGACACAAAAACCCTCAACACATACCTCACCATCGTCACCAATCCAACGCATTGGGCTCGCCCAATATAACTTGGGCCTTCCTCACCGGCCCAGTACAAAATCTAGAAGCCCCTTTTTTTATACCGCACGAATGTCGCAACAACGGTAATATTAATGGGAGCAATGTCACCAGCTACGATTACGCTTATTCCGGCACGACTCACGTTCCTCGCGCATCCCGGAATAAAGGTTTCTAGCATCTTCCATTTCCGTTCTCCTCTTCCGCGTTCTATCTCCGCGATGGCCACTCCGCAAGAATCCTCTTCTACCAAAACGGTGCGTAGAGGCAAATTCAATCTTACTTATTGTTCTTTGTTATTTGTGTTGCGATTGTGATTTAGATTGGGTGCAGGAGAGGGTGGTGATAAAGGGAAGGGTGCAGGGAGTGTTTTACCGGAACTGGACGATTGAAAATGCGACGCAGTTAGGGTTGAAGGGGTGGGTGCGCAACCGGAAGGACGGGTCTGTGGAGGCTCTGTTCTCCGGGAGTGTTGATGCGGTGCAGGAAATGGAGCAGAGGTGTCGACGTGGCCCCCCCGATGCGCTTGTCACGGGGTTTCAGGTTTTCCCCTCCGATGATGACCCTGGCACTGGATTTCACCGCAAACCAACGCTTTGATATTCGATCTTTCTAGTGAATTCGGTAATTTCCCTGGTATGTTTCGTGCCACCGACCTGGAGGTAGTGAATTTCTGTCCACGTATCTTTTTTTAGGCTGTGCTGGTGTTTAAATTGTGTAGGGAGAAGAATTAGTAAATTTAGCTTGTTGTCTCGTGGTACTTGCTGGCACGATGCAACTTGAGTACTTAAGCTCTAATTTTGTTTTTCTGTGTACTTTCCTTCCAGTGGAAAGTTAATAATCGATAATTATGGGTTTGGTTAATCCATTAGTTCCTTAAGTTGCAAATGTGGAGGTATTATACTTTGAGCTTGTTTCACTGTTTTATTTGGGAGAATTGTTCGTATGGAAGAGAAGAAAAAGAAGAAGAAGAAAACTAACTAAAAACTCTTTTCCTATTAATATTAACAGAGAAGTTAGTTTGTAGAGACCATTGATATTAGGGAAATAGAAATAATATGTATGAAGGGAGGTAGTCTTGCATACATTAGTGTACTACCTTATTGCATATTTAGCTATTAGGTAGAGCTAACAGTGTGATTATTTGATTTCATCTCTAAGTGGCACTCGCAGTCATATTTTGACTACTTATAAATCAATATCTCCAATCTTTGGTATCTTATCTGTGTTTTACAAAATGTTGTTTTGGAGATAAATTGTGCAGGTAGTACGATTTTAGTGTAATCATTATTTATTTGTTTATTTTTGTATCTCTAAAGAGGTTGTCCTACCTAGTATGACTTTCCTTATATTGATTTTTTGTTTTTTTGGGCTTTTCTTTAATATTTAAATCAGACATAATTGTTCAGTACATCTATTTATTTGGTAAGTTTTGTGGAGCTGCATCATGTTTTATATTAGCATGTGTACTTTGGTCTTTTAAATCATGCATAGAAGGTTCTAAATATTGTAAGTGAATTATTTCTAAATATTGTAAGTCAATACGGAAATATCATGTTATCCTATTGATAATAACTACACAGAAACATATTTTCATTTGACATTTTCAGTTGTTGATGGTGAGACCAAAGGTGACATTGATATTGTTCTCCCAACTTTTGAGATAATATATAATTTATGCATATGTATAATAACATACATATGGAAACAAATATTGTAAGTATTACAGTTTGTTAATTGGAATAATATAACTTTAGTGTAATGTATTTGTCATGTTGCCCAAAAAAAAAAAAATTCAAACATGATGAGTTGAAAAGGCAAATCATCAGCTTGGATAACATTTTCATCTTACAAAATATTTTTTGTTTTAGTAAATACATATTTATTAACTTATATTATATTTTTCACAGGATATGAAATGAAACAATCAACAATTTTATCAGAATTATCGATTTGAGTTTCAATAAGAAATATCTTGGTTAGATATAATCTCAAGGAAAAAAATGAATTCAAGCATATAATAGATGTAATCAACATGGATACATGACAAGATATGTCTCGGTTAAAATCACATTCGAAAATCCTAATTTTGTTTTGGTAAAATGAGACAAAAAAGTCGAGTGCATGTTATGAAGAAACCGACCACGAGTATTCTAAAGAAATTGTCACATTTTTTAGAGAACAAACAATATCCTCGCATGAAAGATATAATAAAAAGAAATTAAGAGTTTGATGTATAAAAGTTATCATATCCCCCAACTTTGATCAATGAATTATAAATTTAGATAATTGGTGGTGTGACGGATGAGAGTTTCAAGTCCTTTATTTGTTTTTCTTGTTATATACAACTATTTAATATACAAGTTTGAAAATATTTACAAGATTTATGAAGGATATTGGTTTGCTTAGGCGAGCCTAATTTCATTCTTGATCATAGTATTCAATGAGAAAATCCTGGAATACATACAATTAGTTGCATACACAATGAAAACGTTACAAATAAATTTAAAAAAATGTGAAAATTATTTGTATAGACAATAAATTCGTAATATTCATGTATCTTCTCATATATTGATATTATTTTTACTGATTTACACATTTGTCGTTTAACAAGCATTTATAATTTATTTAACACATTTACTTTAAATTATAAAATATAAATTGAAATTAATTAAATATATATATATATATATATATATATATATATATATATATATATTTCAAAAACAAAATTCCTAAATTAAAGTTGGGCTACCGAGCATGATTCATTTAAATAGAGAAAACAAATTCAGTATAAAGGAAGTGTGTGACCTAACACGACGTCTTTTGAAGATGAAAACAAAATAATAATTCTTGTATTGAAGTCGTGATAGGTAGTATAATTTTTTTATTTTGAAATCTAGCTACTTAACACATTAATCCAATTTGTAATATTTCGAAAGTAATCTATTTTAGGAAATTAGGGGCCAAAACGCCCCCTTTTGGTAATATTTCTATTTCATTAGTGTAAAGAAGATCTTGATGAGTGTATGTTTTTCCCAAATTTCACCATAAAGCTAGACATCAATGGACATAAAAAGGTATGAGGGATGATGTTTCACTTATTTTTGAAGTCGTGTATAATAGTACTTTCAATGGTAGAGTGGACTATTCTTAGTTGGGTTGTTATGTTTGGTATGATAGGATTTTATATCACATGGTAATTTAATATGCTCTTAAGTCAGGGCTTATTGACTAGAATGGTGCCGTTTTTTCGTAATTTACCACAATGAATTATTTTTAAAAAATTATGAATTCAGATAAATTGTGATATGAAATACGACTTTAGGGGAGAAGTCTTGCGTTAAAAAAACGATTTTTGAATTATTTATTTATTTATTCAAACAAGTCGTTTTACATAATATAATTTTTTGTATTTTCTTTTTGCCAAAAGTGTATTATGTGGCACATTTTGTTTTAAGTATTAATGTTAAAATCGTGTTTTATAGTATGATCTTAGGTTTTTTTTTACAATTTAATATTTTTAACAATTAAAAAATGATATAAAATTGTTATGTTTTATATTTAATATATTTTAATATTAAAAAGTGATAAATTAAATTAAAAGATGAATATAAATTTAGATAAATAAAAAAATAATTAAAATTTATCATATCTTTTTATCATTTAATATTTGATGTGCAATTAGTATAAAAGTAAAATGTACGTTTAAAAATAGTTAATAAAAGTAATATACGTTAAGAAAAAAGTGAATTATATCTACTTAAAAAAATGTAGGGAATAAACTACAAATTAATTGAACATAGTTTATGATGAGAATATTTAGGGTTTTATATATGTGTATTTCGATATATTTTGTGTATGTGTATTTCGATATATCATGTGAGTATATTTTTTATTCATGAACTTTACGTATGTATAGAATAAAAATATTATAAAATATCAAATATTAATAATATCTCAATCATAATTGTTTAAATCAAAATAATAACCTAATATATTTTTAACTTCTCTCTTAAAAAATAATAAAACATCTTAATACCTAATTTAAATAAAAGATAATAAAATAATATTCAGTTTCTTAGTTAGTGGTGAGAGCTTGTTCTATTATGTGTCTTCGTATCTTGTGTCTTCAACTGTAATGTCGTTTAGGAAAATGTCTCTCTTAGTGTAATATGTTGTTGAACATCTATATCATTATCAATTTCTTCTTTTTTGAGTTGGATTTAGAGTAGATTCTTATGTAGATAATGTAAGTCAATTATATAATTCATATATATTTGATGATATGTTGACTATGAGGTCATCCAATAAGTGACAAATATATTTGATTCAAAAAGAAGAAAAAAACACATTAAATATGTAAAGGAAATTGAAAAACATAGAATTCATTTTATAATTTTATTCATATTCTTTTTTGTACACAGATACTATGATCTTATAATATTTTACTCCAATAAATCAGGACTAAATAAATGAAGTTCTGAGTATACAATATTTGTACCGCTATACAAATCTATAATTTAGCTAATCAAATATCTTTATCCCAACACTCCCCTCAAATTGGTAAATGGATATCATATATTCCCAACTTGTCCAATAATCTCCTAAAAATTTGACTTGTCACAACTTTGGTAAAAATGTCTGCCAACTGATCTTTAGATCAAATATTTGGCAATTCTAGAATATTTTTATATCAAGCTTTTCCTTGATGAAAAATCTATCAACCTCCATATTCTTCATCCGATCATGTTGGACAAGGTTGTAAGCAATGTGGTGCGTAACTTTATTATCATAATAATGAGACGTGTATGTGCATACCTTAAATCCTGGAGAAGTAGTTTGAGCCACAAACCTTCACAAAGACCAAGAACCATTCCTCTAAATTCAGCTTCTGCACTGGATCTAGTTACAACTTTCTACTTCTTACTTTTCCATGTGACAAGATTACCTCCTACAAATGTAAAGTATCCAGAGGTTGATCTTCTATCATCAAGAGCACTTGCCCAATCTGTATCAGTATAAACCATCACATCCTTGTAGTTGGGGTTCTTCTTGAACATAACTCCTTTTCCAAGAGTAGCTTTTATGTACCTTAAAATTCGTATAATAACATCCATATGTTTTTCACCTGGATTGTGCATGAACTGGCTAACCACACTAAGAGCATAAGCTAAATCTGGCCTAGTGTGTGAGAGATACATCAATCTCCCTACAAATCTTTGATATCTTCCCTTGTTAGTTGGAGTTTGATCTTCTTCAATGCACAACTTCAATCCCCTTTCAATTGGAGAATTGGCTGGTTTGCATGTTGTCATTCCAGTTTCTTTCAGTAAATCCAATGCATACTTTCATTGTGAGAGAAAAATACCTGACTTTGATATTGAGACCTCAATTCCAAGAAAATACTTCAAAGGACCAAGATCCTTCATCTCGAATTCCTTTGCCAAGTACTCTTTCAATGCCTTGCGTTCCTCTAGATCGTTTCCCGTAACTATCATGTCATCAACATAGACAATAAGAATTGTAATTTTTCCTTCCTTTTTCTTTAGAAATAAAGTATGATCTTGGTTGCTTTGTTGATATCCAAAAACAAGCAT